GGAGGCAAACATGAAAACGCGACTAGAAATAACTGGAAAGAAGATCCTAGGACAGAGTTAGTAGGCAGACTATGATGCATGAGGGGTAACAGCTGTGAGTAGGCTGCTTATCAAAGTAAAATCTTCATCAAGGATTTCATTTCAAGTCCTAAACTGCACTATATTTTTGCTTCTTATTCGTTACACTCATCTGTGCTACATTGGCATGATCATACCAGACATTTGTGAATATTGTCATTAACTAAGATGGCTGGAAAATGTGTTATGTATGCATAAGTACCGACTAACTTGATGGCTTATGCTGTTTGGTGTACGTTGGGAGAAAGAGCTAGGGGCAGTCAAACCAAAACATGGCACTACTCCACCAAGTCGTTGGCCATTCGACTGGGCCATTTTGATAGGCATAGACTACCTGGTTGGGCTTCGTGTGATTATAGTAACAAACGGCTTGAAACTTGGCCTGACAATTTCGCCGCTCTATGCTAATTTAGTGTAGCAACTTGAACTGATGGTACATGCACGTACCAAGTTCTACGTCATCACTTACCGACTGATCGACATTTAATAAAACTTACACTCTATTAAATGATCTCAAAAATGATCGAAATCGCAAGAAACTCAACCATTTTCTAATTAAATAGTATCTTTTTTCTCATATTTGGCAATGTTTGTGCGCGTTAATTGCATAATCACATTCGTCTATGATCAAGTTGACTTTTGCAGATAGTACACAAAAAAAAACGCAGAAATCATATTTAAATTATGATTTTTTTTAAACTAGTAAAAATTGCTGAGCTAATTTTATTTACCAGATACGACTTTCTGTATGAAATAAATAAGATGAATTATCTTGTAAATATACAACAGGAAATCCATTTGGACCAAATGTAAGTGAATGAAATCGAGAATTATGACCACCTAAATGAATAAAAATGAACAAAACAGGAATTGTGACAATAAAAAAAAGGGAAACATGTTAGAAAAAAAATTTCAGTTTACCTACAAAGTAATCGAATAAACATTAGTACAGTTTGTATGATGGTGGTTGGAGGTAATCGAAAGGAAATTCTGCTTGACCTAAGTCTGGTATTATTTGGAACTCGTTAAGAGGATGTAGGTGTAGCCGTAAGGGATTTAATCTCGTATACCTCAGCTTAACAGTCAGAGCTAACCGGTTGGCAGCTGACCTCCTATAGAGCCATTATGTATCGAAACCTAGGTCCAGGGTTTCCTAATGGCTATCAACGCCGATCACCTAACATCTCAAATAGTGTACGCGACGTCCAGTCACCTAGATTAGTAGTCACGCTGAAACTTGATGGATAGGATTCGATCAGCACTAAGATGGACCTGACACATAACACTGGTCATTATCCAGTGACAGATCAATTGTATACTTGTACAGTTTACTTCGAACCATATATTTATGGGGTTAGTGATGTGACAAAAAATCGAATGAGATCTGTAGCTCAATAATTAAAAATCAAATGCATGTATAACTAACTTATTCGATAAAGTAGCTAAATAAACATTGGGTCTGATAACTTTGCCGCTCCTCATAACCCCAGGCTAAAACTACAAAGCAACTAGAACACAGCAGAAAAGGCGCGAGATAAAGAAAGAACGCTTTACTCCAACATTAGTTAATGTACAAAAATACGAAGGTGTTTATGGAGTTACATCTAACTTTAGGTTTCTAGAAGCTTCAAGAACCGTATTAAATGCAGCAGCGCGGTAAGGATGAACATCTAATCAAGATCATGGCTCGTGATTCCTCATTTTAGTCCTAGCTAGAACTAGTTCAAAAATTCTAACCAGCGAACACTATAAAATTAAGATTTTAATCGTGTTGACTTTCTGGGCAGCGCTTTCATGATAATCGTGATTAGTGGAAAAAAACTACGGTAATGTTTGTGAATCGATAGTCGTGACACAGATACGTCTATTCTTAATCTTCCAAAATTTTCAGTATCTGTTAGGTTCGTCACTTAGTTGATAAATGGGAACGAGACAATGAACCAGCGTCCAGGATGGCTGCCTTGATCCGGAAGCGGCAAAACAGAAGTCTTGATAAGCATAGAAAGTATATTCTACAAACACCCAGCAATCACAATACAATCAAGCACACAACTCTCGTTTATCTATACTTCATAGAAACGTCCTTGGGACAGTTACAAAAATAGCACACTAAAATACACGGCAGCCAATCACAACCAAGGATTTTCCTGGTGGGAAATGAGATCTCAAGGTCAACTGATCAGCCCATGCTCGGAAACGTGAAATCCAAAATAAGGCATTATTTATCAAGCGAGTTCTGGGGATCTAACGTCCCAAACAGTATCGTTTCCTACATTTTATTTCTCAATTTTTGATTTATCAGTTAGAAGATTCTTGTGAAATATGACAATTTAGCTTAAGAAATATTTGTACCAGATTGTATATTGTTTATAACTAACTGCATTCAATGTCTAAATCGCAACAGCTGAATAGACGACTATTTGATAATAATTGAGCCAATCAGAAATGGTCACATGAGAAGGTCATTCGATGACCATAAGAAAATGTTCTAAAAGGACTTATGCATATTATTGGTCAAGCAATGGATTCATTTTTTTAAGTGAATGGAATATTCTCACTCAAGCAGCCAATCTAAGGGCACCGCACATCATATTACGCAATTCATACTTAATAAACTAGAATGAGATAAGTACTATTCCAGGAGACAGTATAAAGTATTCATATCCGAAATTTAGAGACCTTATCTCATAATGTCAATAATAATAATAATAATAATAATAATAATAAAGTCAAAATAAAAAAAAATTTGAATCGTTTAAAAAAATTCTCACCATTTAAAACATCTCTAATATTTGTTTCAATTAAAACTTGAGGAAATATACAAGTATTAAATATAGTGGACATTGAACCTAACCCAGAATTATTTAAACAAAAATTCCATAATATCAATTTTCCTGATCGACACAATGCAGCTAAACGATATTTACGATTGATATTAAATTTATTTGTTGCGCTATTATTGTGGTTATGATTATGATTATTATTATTATTATTAATATTAGGAAATGTGAAATTTTGATTGCCATTCAAATAAGTTGTACGTTGTTGTTCATTACCACTGACTACTGCATGTAATCGGCTAAGGTTATTACTACTACTATTATTGGTAGTAGTAGTAGTAGATTCTGTGTAGGACGATGATGATGAGAAAGTACGACTACAAGTGGACAAAGATGATTCATTGGTTTCTGTAGTTAATGCTAATGTATGTACACAGTCTAATAATAGATTAGGACATATATGACCCCCTGTACTGTAGATTAATTGTATTCGACCTTTATTATCACCGACAGCAATAACTTCACTGAAAGAAAGAAAAAAAAACGGAATAAGTAGACTGGAGTAAAATACAACTTTGTAGGGATTTATTGAAAACAAGAAAGTGATGAATAGCTGTTCGGTCTTACAATATGAGATTGATGAGAATTATACATTACGAAGCGCCGAACACTTATGTTTAGATCATTAAATCAGTATCTAATAGTTTAAATGTTTAACTTCAGACCATTGAAGATATTGCACAGTCATTTTTCACTGCTATGGTTTGGTAATTATTCCATACACAACATGGTTAAATCCAAATGGTTATGGTCTTATTACTGGAATTCTGACTGCCTGGGCAGCCAAACCAAAACATGGCACAAATCCATGAAGTCACGGACAAAAGTACTGAGTTATGTTGGTAGGTGTAGACTACCTGGTTGGGGTCTGCGAGACAATAGTTTCCGATGGTTAGAGACTTTAAATTACATAGACAGACAGGATATGATTTTGACCGATTTGGTCTCTCGTGTTGTTACGGGTATGAAGGCGGTTGTCACTTCCTGGCTGCCCACATCGTGGAAGGTTGTTTCTTGATGGAGATGAAAAGGAAGGTAGATTAGTGATGGTCTTAGAGACCTGGGTGCGTGACAGCAGAGCCATGAAAGGTTTTTTGAGTATTAGCTCCGCTCTTGAAAGCCCTTAGTGGGCACCCTTACCGCCGGAGACAGAAATCCGTGAGGTAGGGTGAGGTGTGACATCTTTAGGGTCGACCTTTTCGAACTCTTCCTTACTTGTGAGAAGAGAGCGTCGCTACAGATGCTGGTTGTCTGAGGGAAACACCTTACTGCTGTCACACCTCTCTGCAGTCAGCAGTACGACTTCGCCCTCGGAACTTGGGTAGCTGCTTTTAGTCTCATCGTCCTACGATCGAACTGCCTGGAGTGGTAGAACCTTCAGGAATGTATGTTCCAGCCAGTATAGCTCGGTTGGGTCATGACGATAGGCAAGCCCGACCACCACGTCAAGGTAGCAGCTATGTTCGGGCTTTAAATTACATGGCTCAAAATCATTTTCAGTGGTGCAGGTGCATGCATCATTTGTCTGCTCTCAAATTTTATCTTTCTGAATTCCTCACTACGTTTATGTTTCTCGTTTTTTTAATTTATTTCACTGGATTATACTTTCTGAATCATATCTTGGATCTCAAATCTCATTCATTACTGCTAATGCTTTCATTACTTCTACTAATATCCGATTTAAACTGACGATCCCATCCCTGTGTTCTAATGTGATATGGCAATTTGAACTAATTAATGTACATACTTACCAAGTTTTACGTTGTAGCAAACTGACTGACTCGGATCATCTAACTAAGATCAGTCCGAGATAAAAACCCGTTACAACAGTAAAATGTATTTCGTTAGGAAACGAAGTTGATGAGCATTACTTCTCAGTGAGTAGTAATACAAGATTATAAATAACTTGATATAAGTTTTGTCTAATGCAAACAAAGTTATATATCCCTCATTAATTACTTATTTGCAATACTCTCTTACATAAGTAGTAATCTGGTATAAGCAATAAGGCTTAGGAAATTTTAAACGGTAAAATAGATGTGTATAAAGATTGAAAATTGGCGCTGTAAGTTAATAAGAAACAAATTTCATAACTTAACTGAAATCAGATTAAATAAATATATAACGTGAACCCGATTAAGTGAAACAGAAAATCATAAATGATATGCATAAACCGAAGGGGATACGTATTAAATGGGTCGGGATACTGACTAGGTACGCAAACTGATTCAAGTGGTCTTCTTAGGGGACCACACTCCAAGCCTTCAATCTAGAAGTCTAATCCATAAGTTAGTGTAGCAACGTCATGAGATGTGACCCGTGACTAACAGAGGATTTATAAACCGTTTGTTCTATCTGCATATTAAAGCCCATGTGCATGACTGATTTCTAATCAAAGTTTTCATACTCCTCTAGGTGTATCGACCGCAACCAACAACACTGATCGAGCCCAGGCTAGACAATCCATTTTCGTCCTCTCAATCCTTTAAACAATACCTTTGCCACGAGAAGGCAGTGAGTAGGATTTCCCTGTTAATGCCTGTATACATGTAACCAGATGAGACAATTTCGAGAGTTAAAAGCGGACTCTACACATCTTTAACCATATTGAAAGATTATTTAAAATGAATTTTAAAATACAAACTTAATAAAATTACAACATTCACTGCAAAACACATATAATGTTCACATCACACATACTCACTCTGAATAAGCATATGAAGTTAATCGATCTGTACAAATTAATTCCCATAGACGACGATCACTACGACTAGCAATAATTCTAGACATAGAATTTGATAATTTCGGTATTTCTTCACCACGTGTAGATGAATTGGTCGAATTGATCAATTGTACAATAATTGGACCATCAACAAGATTAGAGCAGACAAATTGAATTTTTGGTGCATTCCCTAATTGATCTGCAGTAGTAATTAAATATGGTGCAAAACTTGCTTCTGCTGCTGATTGGTTTTGTACACAGGATGATATGTGATCAGCTATTAAAATGGAATGAAAAAAAAAGTTAAGAAAAATAACAACATGGTTATATACAAACTACTTAAAACAATTAAGTAGTATGAAAGTATAATTTTGTGAAATTTTCGTTTGAGAAATAAAAAATAAGTTGTTTTGAATATAAAACTTACTAGATTCAACAGTAAGTTTTGTTTTTGGTGGTGATGATTCAGGTGTAAAACAAGATTTCTTATTTTGTTGTAACAAAGAAGATGATTTTGCAATATCCAATCCGGATTTAGGAGATTTTTCTTCTTCAGTAAATAAACGAATACGTCGTTTACGTTGTTTATTACCAGTAGTAGCAGAAGCGGTAGTAGAACTAGTAGTAGCAGCAGTTGTAGTAGTAGTATGAGTAGTATTATTAGTAGTATTGACTACTTGTTTACTTATTTCATCATTAATCGGTTTAATATGATCTGTATCATTATCACCGTTATCGAGACGTGGACGTTTCAAGTCAATATTAGGTTCTTGATCCATACCAGCAGCAACAGTGGTAGTAGTAGTAGTGGTGGTTGTACAATTACTTGTTGTACATTCAAGTGTTAATCTTTTCATTGACGGTGCTTGAACAACCATACTTGATGATTGTGTTTGTGAATTGGTTTTTAATTCAACAGGTGAATGATTTAAGCCAAGCGTCACAGGAGTTTTATTGCCTTTCAATTCTGTTGTATTTATGGTAGAAATAGGTGTAGGCGTGTTATTCACTTGTACACATGTAACACTTGGCATTGGATGATTAATTGTAGTTTTCGGTTGAGCAGAATGAATAGGAAGAGGCGATGTTGTCGTTGTTGTTGTTGTTGGGGATGTTGTTGAGAGTTGTGGTGTTGCGACAGTTGCGCCAACAGTCGATACTGTATGATTGATTTTATTTGGATCTATAGTGAAATCGGAACTATTCTCCGAATTTGATTTACTTTCATGTCGATTTGTTTGAGGTGATGAAAATTGTGGATTAGAATTAGCATCTTCATCCGGGCTATGATGAAATGGAGAGAAAAGGGGGAAAAAATGTGAGAAAAATAAACATGAATAGATAAACATTGATGTTTGATAGATTAGTTTTATTGCGGGGCTGTTGTGAAGATTGTTAAGTTTTATTTGATGCGCACTACTGACGAGTCCCATATCAGGATCGAAACGGCCGTCCAGCGCTTCCAGGTTTCTAATG